ACAAGGAAAAGTGGGTTAACACCGAAAATCACCCATGGACGCAGAAATCCGAGTGTCATTTGTGTGTTTTGCAGAACTTTTAGTCTCCTGTCCTTGATGATTCCGTTGTTATCCGCGCAGTATGTGACGAATGTTAGCCGCCCGCAGACTTTTAATGCCACTAATGGTGATGTCGGGTGCCAGCTGGCCTCTGACGTCGACCTTATCGACCGGGCGATCCCCCGGGGCTCATCGGTCGCATCGGGATCCCCCAGGGCGATGCGCGTTTGCCGGGAGGCCATCGTTAGGTCGCCAGGGCCAAAGTCGGCGTGTGGGCCAAGGCACACCAAAGGTCAGAACTGAGTGGACGGGAACCAGCGACAGCGGCCGAGCCTTGGAGGCTGTATGGGATACTCAACAAGACAGTCGCCACTGGTAAAAGTTTTCGGACTAAAGGCTGTCCTGCGAGGCGACAGCTGCGCCGAAACAATCTGGGAACTAGCAAACGCTCTATGGCGGTACGACTCGGGATAACGGTGATGATACAGGCTTTGAGAATGGCATCGCAGAATTTCGTTTCCTTGAGGTAAATTCTTTCCAGTTTATGCACGCGTACTGTGGTTCCACAAGTGAGTATCCCCAAATCTTACAGTCCTGGTCCAGTCACCACCACTTCGTCAGAAACTGTTCTAGTCAGGTCTCATTTCCCGGCCCGATAGGCTTCCGCGCGCGGCTGATCCCGTGACGTCACGCCGCCGACAGGTGTCGCGCGGCCCGATTGGCGAACGTGGGTCTGACCCCGTGACGTCACGCCGCCGACAGGTGTCGCGCGGCCCGATTGGCGGACGTGGGGCTGACCCCGTGACGTCACGCCGCCGACAGGTGTGGCGCGGCCCATTTGTCGGGGCGGCCGCCTGAGTTTCCAATATGTGCGGCCGATCGGCGCCGGATTGCCGGCGGGCTGAGAGATGTGCCGGCCCAAGCCGCTGAGCCGGCTCCAATCCGCCGGCCTGCTCGGCGCCGCGCCGTCGGCCGCCGGCCCAGAAGACTCAGAGCTCGACGGCCAGCCGCGCCGGCTCCATTCTCGGCGCCGAGGCCGTTCCGGCTTTCAATTTCGCCCCGGGAAATGACGAGGCGGCGCCAAAGGGCGGCGGCGCCGATTCATTACGGCGATCACGCCCGGACGGCCGAGTTTTGCCGGTGATCTGCGCTCTTCCGGCAGCGAGTCTATCGAAGGTCAGAGCCGAAGATGGGGCTGTTGGAGTCTGATGGCCGGGGCCTGGTTCCGCACGGGACATCGCTTCTGGCGTGGCGGACAATTGGCGGTGAGTTTTTCGACAGGAGTTCCGCCTTTCACGATTTCACGGTTTCACGGAGTGTGGGTCTTTGTCACGGGATATGCGTCAAAACAACGTGAGAGGGAATAAGTTGGGACTTTTAAGAATCTTACCTAGGTAACTCAGATAAGTTATGAGTTAGGACGAAGATTAGCTGAAAGAGATGGTGAACTTCAGCAGAATGCAATCTCGAAGATTTTCGCAGAAAAGCCTTACCTCTGGGCTAGTTTGTGAGTTAGACATTTAGTCTTCCATAAATCTGGCATCTCTGGGGAGGGCAGATAAGGAGCGCTGGCTAACAATGCTTTGTTACGGTATTCTGGGCCGTCGCTGGAATAGAGCTGGCACAGCCCGGACACGCGGCCCACATGCTCTGGCGCGGCCCTGAGCGCCCCGTCCGCCTGGTGCGGGGTGTGACTGATGGGTGACCTGGTGACTGATGGGACTGACCTACCATCTGTACCGTCCGCCGGTGATGCGGCGCTTTCAGGGGTTGTTTGTGCGCAGAGCCTTGCCGCATGCAATCTTAAACAAACTGTGAAAGTTTGGAAACGTTTACAAGGAACTGTAGAAGTTTGGAGCGGGCTGCTTCATGTAATGCCACTAATTAAGAACGGTTTTGCCCAAGCCAGCTGAATGCTTGGCGCTCACAGAGCGTTCCTAAGGGCGCTGGAGTTCTGGATGTTTGTACAAAA